GATAAAAGTCTTTAAGATTCAGTGTTTTGCTCAATTTATGTGGCAAGGAAAGATTGAAGTCTTGAACTTCAAATAACAATGTTTAATGTTGAATACAAGTGTATTTATCCATTTACCAGGTTATGATCATAAACTTTATTTGTGAAGCTTGGTGTGTTGGCTCACACCTTTAATTCCAGCACTTTTGAGGCAAAGGCAGGAGATCTCTTGAAATTTAGACCAACCAGGTCTACATAGTGAGGTCCAGATAAGCCAGGACTATATAGTGATAATCTGCCTCAAACAAAAAGCTGTTTGTATATCCTATTAAAAAATCACAGCAACTTTGAAGAGAAATTATACTTTTGTTTACTGTAGTCAAAGACTTTGTGAATGATGGTACTTACCTGAAGTCACAGGAGCTTGGTGTTTCCACTCATGTCTTCCTAGCTCCCAGATTCACACAAATCTGATAAAATCCCTAAATTTGATCCATGGAACCAATTGTAAAAGAAAGAAACCAACTCCTCAAAATTTTCCCCTGACAGCCATGAACACTTCATGGCATGGATGCATTTAAACACTTACACTTACACACACACACACACACACACACACACACACACACACACACACACACACAATACAATAATAATAAATATGGAAGTTTTTAAGTTCAAACAAGAAACAATATAGAAGATAGAACCTGGTCATGTAAGACACAAGCTGCACAACCTAGTGATGAGAACATGGGTAGACTGTGAAACAGTTAGGAGGAAACTTTGGAGGTGGGAGTGAAGGAAGGCTAAGAGTGATGATTAAAGGCTGGCTAGAAGTTAGTAAAGGAAGGGAGAAGCAGGAAGTTCTCCTCTGGCCTTGTCCAGTGGAGCTCAACCTTGCCACTGCATTCTCAGTTCCTCTTCTCTTCTTCAGCTCATTCCCCATCCCCCAGTGCTCTTTTAACCTCTGTCACTTGTTGAAATAACAATTTAAATTGGTGTCATCAAAAACAAGCAGCAAGATGGAAAAGCTACAATAAAATGAAAGTAAAGGTGAGTGAGAGATTTCAATGTATTCTACCAAGGGTTAGCTCATGGCAACAGACTAGAAATTAAATTGTCTTTTACTTCTTCCCTTTCCCCAATTATTATTAATTTTTGTTGATTTTACTATCATTGTTACTGCTATTATAATTGTTTTATTATCATCATTATAATAATATATAATTAATTTTTTAAAGTCTACAAAACGAATAATGCCAGGAGATATTTGTAGTCAGCCTGGGCCTTTGCAAATGCCATGCAAGGACCTCCTCTGTACTGTATCTCCAGTCTCAATGAAGTTTCTAAAGTCTTCAGCATTCAGTGTTAGAGTTTGAGACCCCACTGGAAATATGCACAGCAAGAGCTTTGAATGGAGATCTGCTGATATAAAAACAGTTTTCACCTTAGAGAGAATAACAGTAGTTTATTCTGGAGCCATTTTAAGTGATACTAGTTCCATGTTCAAGGTGGAAACAGTTTCATGGAGTTTTGTAGTTTTACAGAAATGGAGAAAGTTCTAAATCAAAGCAAATTTAACATAGATTGGTGGGTACATCAGAGAGGTGGTTATAGAAAAATGGAGGAAGATATATAGGCCATCAGATGACATTCTTAGCTTTCAGGTTGGTGGAACTTTGTGGTCTGTTAAGTTAATAGATTTCATGAAGTCTTTATCTATTAGTCACAGGACATTAGTTCTGACATAGGTGAGCAAGAAATGGCTATTTAGTGGGCTAGAGATATTTTTGGTAAGCTAATGTGTCTAGATCTACAACATTCCAACCTCTCCCCAGCACTGTGGTTTTAATCAGTAAATCAGTCTTTGCTGACACATTTTTTCCCCAGGAATTCTCATTCACAAACCTATGGGCAGAATTCACATTGAAGAAAATTAACCTTATCTCATCTTTAAAAAAGTGAATTATGAACATTTTCACACACAACTGGTAGACTATAGATGAACTAGAGGGATTGTGATATTCTTGTGACTTCAAGGCATAAAAAGTTTTTCTAAGTATATTCTAATGCATATCCCATGTAGTTTTTAAACTAACAACAACAAAATTTTATAAAACAACTTAGATGTTCAGCAGTAGAGGATTAATTAATTTGTGCTGTATACAAGTGACTAATAGCTATAATTATTTTAAAAAAGTTCATAGATCAGTACTTATAAAACATAGAAATGCTTTTCATTTAATAGGAACTACCAACCAGAATCATGGTGTAAATCCGTGTGGTGGTATATAGCTGTAATCCCAGCAGTGAGGAAACTGAATCAAGAGTCCTGTGAGTTTGAGGCAGGCCTGGGCTACATAGTAAGTATGATACAACAATTGTCTCAAAAGAAACAAACAAAAACAAAACAAACACAAAAACAAACAAACAAAAAGCAAAAACCAGAATCAAAGCTTAATTCTATAGCTCACTGATAAAGTATTTGCAGAGCATTCTCAGTGTCTTAGATTTGATTTCCTAGCACCATGAAAATATCAGCAATAGACTACTCCATATAGAATGAAATCTGGGTTCATAGTAAACATTATATATGAATAAAAAGCCAGAAGTGTTTAAAATAAGTTTCACAGTGGAAATTTAAGTACATAAAGACATCGTAAAATACACAGGTGTAATAAACATAATTCAAAAAAACAGGAAATAACTTTTCTTTCCTATTGGTAACATAAGGAAAAATTTCCAAGAGTCTGTTAGAAAATTATGAGTGGAGGAACATCAGTCACTTCTTTTTACTAGTGTTTTATGCTAACACACTGATTTCACTTTCTCTGCAGATGTGTTATATTTTAGTATTCAAATATCAATTATGAACGTGATTGCAGCATCTGACATGATATGTTGTTTCTTTCCTTTGACATCAGAATCTTCTTTCATCATGCAATTTCCTCTTTTCAGTTCGGTTAAGAGGAGGGGCAAAAAGTCCTGAGCTTAAGTATCACCCAGAGGCGATTCAGCTCTGCCTTTTCTCTTGGAGCCTCTGAGAGGATCAGTCCAGGGAAGGCCAACTTTTTCCCCCACCTGGGGGATAAATTCCCTGCAACAAAATCATTTCTGGGTCGAGACACAGGTAACAGCTACTTTTATTGTTTTTCTATCACTCGAGAGAATTTCAGATGTTGTGACATCAGACTGAAATTGCTGGGGGAAACCGTGTTGGTTGTGTTAGATCTGGTTGACTCTGGCAGTATGTGAAAACTGGAGTTTAGCACTGTTTATTTTATTTTTGAGTGGGCTATGACTTCTGCTGTGTGCTAAGAGAGTTAGGTAGAGGGTTCTATGGAATTCATTACTATTTAGCTGGGTCAAATATTTATATATTATCCATCTTGAAGAAGTTATAACAGGAACTGGGTATGAAGGCTTAGTGTGTAAAGTACTCACTACATGCTACACAAGCCTGACTGACCATCTGAGGTTGATCTTTGGCACTCACATAAAGGTGGAATAAGTGGACTCACTTGGTAAAGTTGTGCTCTGGACACATGAACCTCAGTTCAGGCATCCCCTTCCTCCCCCCCAAAAAAAACCCAATAATAATAAATAAAGATTTTGAAAAAGAATTCTGTAATAGAAAGTTTCCTTTTTCACAGCAAATAAGGGAAAATTTGAATAATTTCAGAAAACTTCATAAATTAAAAAAACTAGAGAGGAATCAATCAATGTACTATTTGTTTTCCCTAGTATCTTTTGGGTACCATCTCAGTTATGAATGTAAAGGGCAAGGTGAGTTACACTTATTTACTATTTAGTAATTATTGATATCTGTAATCAGATTGAATCCTTCATGGGCATTAGCTTCATGGGCATTCTTCTTTACAGTGACAAATTGCATTTTTACACAGGGTCCTATGGCAACATCATATACTAGAATATAATATGTGAAATATTCATGTACATGGAATGATTTGAGATTAAAATTTCAGGATTTTTCTTGCTATGTCCCTCTCTATTGCTCCCACACCCCACCCCTACAATCTCCTTTTGTTTTCCCGGTTGCTGCAGTCACTCCCAGTTATGTAGCATGTCTGAAGAGTTGGAGCCAGGAGCCTCAGATGTGAGAGAACATGTGGCATTTTCTTTCTGTTTATGGATTATCCCATGCAGTAGGATCTTTCCTAGTTCCACGCATTTACCCAGCTTGGCCCTGGAGAAGAATGCGTAGTCTAAATCTGGGTGGAGAGGTGGGATAGCTGGGGTGCTTGGACTAACCCAAGAAGTATTTCTGTTTATGGAGCCCAAAATGGTGATTACCTGCAGTATTAACCTTCATATAATGTTTTGGAGGTGGTGTCTGGGAAATTCTGAGAGTCAAATACAATTGAAAAGACTACAAGAACTTTCCTTTTATATTAGAATATTTATCAAAATGTATAAATAAGCTGGGCGGTGGTGGCACACACCTTTAATACCAGTGCTCGGAAGGCAGAGTCAGTTGGATCTCTTTGAGTTTGAAGCCAGCCTGGTCTACAGAGCAAGATACAGGATAGGCACCAAAACTACACAGAGAAACCCTGTCACAAAAATAAAAATGTATAAATTTTTATATATTCAGAAATCTCTGAGTGTTGTTGAATTGATAGTTTAAAAATACTTCAAAGATTTGCAGTGGTACCAATTATGCCTAACATATTTTATACATTAACTATTTTAAACAAATAGGCTGTGCCAATATTACAATAACTTAATAGTAAATTTTTAATTCTTTTTGTATTTCCTAATAATAAGTGATGTGAACATTATAAGTATAAATGACAGAAAACTTCAAAGACTTCTCATGTCTAGTGGAAGTCAGGATAAACACATGTGATTTAGGATCATTAGGGGAATGAATCAGACCCTGTCCCCACCCCACTGCAGAATCAGATCCAGGCGCCTTCCTAAATGCGGACATTTTAACTTCTTCTTTAGAAATTACTCAAGACAGATTGTGACACAGAACATACTTCATTGACTCCCAAGATGAGTGATGAGGAGATTACTTACACAACTGTGAGATTCCATAAGTCTTCAGACTTGCAGAATCGAGAAAGGGCTGATGAGACACAAGGGCCCAGAGAAGCTGGCCACAGGGGTAAGTGTTTTAAGTGTCTAAACTCACCTGTTTTATGCATTCTAACTTTTGACATTTGAAAACAGTATCCCACTGGCTTCTATGGAAAACAAATACCCTCCATTTTAACTGGGCTTGGTGATGCATGGGGGAGGGGGAAGATAAATGAGTATGAGTGAGGGAGTAATCATGTAGAAAATTGTTCAAAAATAAGTTTAAAAATTAAGTTATCATCATTAAAAGGAAAAAAGGAAAAGAAAACAATAACTCTATTTTTAACTGTTAGCTGGTAACAGAGAAAGCCATATGGATGGAGGAGATCAATAGAGGTCTATAAGTAAACAGTTCTTGAAAATTGACAGGTGAGAAGTTAATACATTTCATCAAATTGGAGAAACTATTAGGAGGTTTTTCTCATTAGTCTAGTCAAAAAGAATTTTGAAACCTTTAAAAGTGACAAACTAGAATCTGAAGAAGCACCAAATGTCCTAGAGAAATGCAATCTTAAAGAAATGCAAAGTATGCATTAGAAACTATACTTTCCCTTTAGCAGAATGTGTTTTAAGCATCTTAAATATTTTCAACATCTAATGCAATGAAGCAGAAAGAAGTAGTTTATCAGATGAGGAAGTCTCTATTGGGGAGAAGCTGCAGAGGAAGAGGGGATGAGAGAGGGTAGTGAGGATGGGGATGACTAAACCACATTATGAATTTGCAGAAATGTCAAAGAATAATTAAGTTTATTTAATAAAAAAGAGGATATCTCACTTTTCTGCTCTCTTTTTCTGCTTACTCAGCATCATCAGACACATGAAGATGTCTAGGGTTGTCTAGAAATATGGAACTTATGGAAAAAAAGAGTTGACTTTTGGCCCCAGAAAGGATGACCCTGTATACAGGTCAGGTCCATAACAACTATGGTCCCTACAGTTCTCAAGAACATCCATCCATCCCTCCTTCCTGTCATCCTCACTTATGCATCCTTGGTTGACTGTATGCTCTAGTTTGGAATCATCTACCTGGACTGTGTCTGTGTCCAATGCTTTCTGAAGGATGCACTTTTGATCCTGGAGAACTGGGTGAAAGGGCAGGTGCCTGTTATCTAGCTACTCTAGCCTGAAGTAGGAGGATTGATAACATGAGACCAAAGTTAAAAGAAGTTTGAAATCCTCTGAAACTTCACACATGTAGGATTTCTACAGTGGGTGCATTTTAGGTAGATGTGCTACAAATTTTGAAAGCACATGTTCAGTCAGCTTGTATGATGGACTTCTGTAAAACTGTTAGAGACCAATATCCCCTCATTTCTGAGCTACAAAAAATTATAAGCAGTATTGTGACATGCTCTTTTCATAGTAATTATTTTCTTGCTTTGCTTTTTGTTTGTTTGTTTGTTTTGATTAAGAGTGTTCAGTCCCGTGGCACCTCATTGCAATACCTCTAGGAGTCCTTTGTTCCATTCTGCTGGTGACAGTTGCAGTATTGGTGACACACAGTGAGTAACTGGTATACATCTACCTAAGTAATAACTTTAGATACTAATTATGCAGTTAACACTCTCTGTCCATTGTTCTGCCTATAACCATGGGATGTGCCAGATAGCTCTGGACTTTGTTTTTGTTTTTGTTTTTTTTGGGGGGGGTGCTGACACACTGTAGTGTCTTGTTCCCATACATACATATTCTATTAGCTCTGGGGCTGTTGGGAACTGCCTTTTTCTGTCTCATTATTGATGTTGTTCCTTTTGAGGACTTAATGGTAATCTGCTTCCTGAGCTTAGGTGATTGTGAATTGTATGTAAAAATTCTGCGAGAAACACCAGTGCAAAACAGATGATGATGTTCTTGTCCTTTTCTTCGGTGTATATTAAGGACATTGTTAAGTGAAAAGACTCCATCTGTACAGAGCCATTAAAACTTAAGCTTTATTGGATTCTTTCACATTTTTAGAGGAAATCACTCCCAGGCTGTGCTAAGACATGGAAACCTGTCTGGATATTTTGCTTTCCCTCTGGTCCAAAGAGAATTGTGCCATTTCTTAATGTTTCTAAGTTCACATTCTCATGCTGTGTTAAGTATTCACTGAATATTTTACTTATGTATGTTTTTGAAAGTTTTTGCTGTGAAAAACTAAATAACTGAAGTTGTGGTACATCCACCATAATTTTATTCAGCTGTATTGTTTGCTTTACATTAATGTTACCCTGATAGAGAGAAATTAGTGTTTCCATTCCTATAGTGAGTTAATTGAGGTGTTATTTTCTAAATGTCAAAGTACCAGTTCCAGTAATAATATGTGTTAGTTGTCAATTTGGGCTTTCTCTGTTATCTTAAATTTTAATATTTACTCCTTATAAGCATTTTGGTGTTATAACTGCTACTAATTTTAGTTTTTCAGTATAGTCAAGAAAAACATGAATTGCAGAAAACTCTAAATAAACCCCATCAAGAGAACAGCACCATGCAAAATGACAGATACTTAACTGAAGAAATGTTGAAAAATAAGTCTAAAGATTATGATGCCCTCAAACACGATCTGGACATACTCAACAGAACATTGAACAGATGCTACCAGGAAACTAAATTTGTTTTAGATTCCAAACAGCACAGAGGTAAGAAGAGGATCCTGAATAAAGAATTGTTTTATTCTCTAATGTTTCCTCCCCGAGAAGATTTAAAATCCAATTAGCAGCTAAAATGCTGGTGATTTGTGGGTTAATGGCTTAGGGTTTCATTATCTCATGGAGGGGCCTGGAACCCCAGATATCCCGGTTTGAATTCGGAGAATCTTATAGCCTCTAGAAACTCAGTGGCTGTTCTGGCTTCTACTGCTATAAGAGGATGTAATTGTAAGTCAGCACAGCTGACAATTCAGGTTCTTTTGGTCTGTGGGCTAGTTTGAATCTCCAGCTTTGTTGCTGACAGAACATGGAAGTTTCCATTAAGAGTGCATTCACTAAATTCTTAGGCTGAAATGGACTCAGAGCATTTATATGGATGCAGTCATAAAAATAATTGTGTGTGTGTTTTCCTTCTGCCTTGGTATGAGAGAGTTGGCATGTTTGTGACCGTAGTAAATCTCACTGCAGCACAATATGGAACTTCAAAATGGTGTCCACACTTGTGTAACTGTCAGTGACACAGTGAATGAGGCCAGAAAGATGAAAATATCAAGTGTTACAAGGAACCTTTCTTACATTGTATTGACTGGTTAAATTTAATTGACACAGTTTATCATTCATTATTAAATATTATTTTCAGAATTTAGAGTTTACAAAGAGCTTTTGCATATGATCTCACTACAACATGGTAGGGGTTAAAAATCTTTATTATGCAAGGTATGATAATACCTTTCAAATTGCCACATTATAAAATATAACAGGAAAAAAGTGTCAAAAAATTTTGAAATATTTCAGACCCATGAAAAATATTATGTCTTATTTTTAAAAATAACTATCATCTGTAAATGGTAGCGTATTGCTGTAGTCCCTGTCCTTAGGAAGCTGAGACAGGAGGATTATAAATTTAATGACAATCTGGACAGCTCAGCAAATTCCAGGCTAGCATGAGATACACAATGATACCTCTTCACAGGAAAACAAAGGTTGTAGATAAAGTTTGATATTAGAGCATGGCCATCCTCAGTCCTTCACTAAAGAAAATAATCATATTGAGGTAGTATTGCTACACAAATCACACACATTTTAATGAATTCAACTTGACATGTTTGGGTGTGTGGGCATATCACTGAAGGCATCAACACAATCAGGTGAGTAGACCAACACCTTCAAAAGCTCTCTCATGTGTCTCTTGTTGCTCTTAAGGTAAGAGCATCTAACACGGACCACAGCACAACCTTAAGTTCACAGTATGTGAGGATGAACTGGGACCACAGTGCATTACTGCAGGTCTAGAATTCCATCCTCCTTGTAACTGCCTCTGTGCAGCAAGTGTTTGTTCCCCATACTCCAGCTCTCACAAGCCTCTGCTTCTTAGAGTTGGGCTGTGTTAAAACCTCATCCAAGTTGAGACATAAAGTATGGTCTTGGGCCTGACTTTTTCACTTTGCACTCCATCCTCCAGTTCATCCATGTTCTGAGCACCTCTCTTTTAAAGTGTTTAGGCATGAGACATGGTTTCAGTCTGTAGCCCAGGATGTATTAGAATCTACTTTATAGCCAAGGCTGACATGGACTACTTAGCCTAGGCTGGCCTCAAACTGGTGCTGATCCTCCTGTCTCACTCTGTGTAGTGCTCAGGTTATAAACATAAGTCTTCATGCCCTGCCCAATTTAAAGGATAAATAGTATTCCTTTGTGTGCATGTGCCACATTTTTTCTACTGATTTATCCACAGTGGACACATCATTTGTTTCTATATACCTACTGCTATAAAAAACACCCCATAGAGCATGGGTGTAAAGGGGTCTCTTAACATTCTGGAATTTAAATTTCTTAGAGCTCTGAAATTTTACTTAGTTATTGATGTTTAATTAAAACAGTGCTCTAATAACAGAATATTAGAAAATAAGAATTTTCACCACCTACCTTCTCTGTTGTAGGCACACAGGTTAAAGGACACTGGTTCTGCTGTGGCATAAAATGTTATTATTTCATCATGGACAAAAAACACTGGAAAGGATGTGAACAGACCTGCCGGGACTGCAGCTTATCCCTTTTGAAGATAGATGATGATGATGAACTGGTACTGTAAACTCTTAACATGTCCATTTCTTCTCTTAGACTTTGTCTCTAACCCTTGGATAGTGAGATGCTGAGCCCAGGTTTATTGAAAGAGAGACTTCTAAGTGTTGTACATGGTTTGCCTGTAACGTGAGCAAAAACTGTGCAGTAAGAGTATCCTAGGCTACTCCTTCCTGCTCCTGGCTTAGGGTCAGGACACAGGGTCTGAGAAGAGTCATTAAAGAAAAATTTGTAATCTCCTCTCTCTTAGGAGTCTGCAAGAGAGTCCCTCAGAGAAGCATGTTTTCCAAAATAAGCTTAAACCTTTGGTACAGTACACCCTGTGAGTGACAGTTATGTATCTCCATAGAGTGCCAGCTACACCCAGTGACGTCTTGGTCTAGGGCTTGCTCTTTGGAACCCACATGTGAGTCTGCCTGAGATGAGTAATTGGATGACAATAGAGAAAGTAACTGACCTCTGGGGCAATTTGCAAAATGGAAATTATATGAGAACCGTGGAAGCAAGTAGTTTTACCAGGTAGCTCCAATGTGATTGTCAGCGAAACTCAGCATAAACTTTACTTCATACTATTTTTTTGTTTTCTTTAAAAGATGTTCATTTTTTGAAATGAGTAATTAAATGGAAAAAAAAGGTGCCAAGATGTGGACATTTTCTATTTAAATTATTCCTAACAAAATCTCTTCCAATATGAAGACAATATTTTTCTAGAGAAATGCTTGCAGGATCAGCTTGAAAACTTTGTCATTTAGAACATTTTACAAAATTTGTACACCAATTTAATACATGTATAAAAATTACAACAAGTAATTTTTAATGTCAAATAATGTGATTCGCCATTTTATATATTAATCATAATTAAATTTATAATTAATTTTAAATCCATATTTTAAGATATGTTCAAAAATTTAAGTAGACATCATGCCACTAGCATGTCTCATGTAAGGCATTAAGGTTTTCCAAATATCTGTCCCTTTCCTTCTCAATTTCTGTCACTTTAAGTTCTGAACTTCAGAATGGGTTCCTCTCTGGTGCATGGAACTTTTTGAAAAGCTTTTCACACAGTACTTTTCATCTTAATGAATTTGCTATTAAGACAGGGTGTTACTTACCATATGAACACTTCCCACATGCCTCTGTGGTCTTTGGGGATGCACATTTGAATAATTACATAGAATGTCAGAAATTATTTAATGAGCCATGTATACAGTGTGCTGGTTTATAGGAGTCACAGCATTAATATTGTGAATTCAGGGTCAACCTTCGTTATATAGTGAGACTTGGTCTAAAGACATAAATTATTTCATGAACCTAGTATCCCTAGACACCTGAGGTTTTGAATAACTTACATAACTGACATTGGTTTTGACATAAATGAGCTACTCATGGGAAATCACTTTAAAAATGAGCTTAGAGGGAAGGAAGCACTGGAGGACAGGACAGCAGAGACCTGACACAGAATAGCAGGGACCTGTTATGTTGTTCTTTTCTCACCAGCCACAGGGAAATTTTATCATCAGATGAGTTCTTTTTTTTCACTTACAGAAGTTCCTTCAGCTCCAAATTAAGCCGAACACTTACTGGATTGGGTTTTCATATGACACAAAAACAAAGAAATGGCAATGGAGTGACGGTGGCCCATCTAAACTGTGAGTTTCCCGAGTCCTCACACTCTAACTTGGTGCAGAATTGGGAGGATTGTGTGCAGAGGCTTTTTTCTCATTTCACAACGCTTTTCTCTTTGTCAATGGAACTAACACCTAAGGACAAGATGCACAAGGCAGTGTTTGAGCAAGCATTAGACAGGGAAGAGGAACAGCCTAGAAGCTGACTGCTAGTGATGTAATAATGAACACAGCTAAGGGTTGTGTGTTCTAAGATGCAGAGAACACAAGCAAATCAACATCTTAAGATCATTTGAAAGTGACTAGATCATCCTGATAGGTAGTATAAGTATGAATATTTGAAACATTCAGTTCATTTGTTTCGGTAGTTAGTTTATATAAATTGCTTCTTATTTATAAATAGAACATTTTTGCATATCTATATGTATATATGTATATCTACCTTCCATTTCAAGTTGTCATATTGTAAACTCCAAGTTTTATGTTAATTTATACTCTGGTAGAAAACTATTCATTGATTATCTTTATTAAAATATTCCTTTTTCTTGTATATATCTCATATACACAAAATAAAATATGATCATATCCTTCCCTAAACCCCCAAGCTTCCTCTGATTCTGTTCAACATGTACCTCTCTAACTCCTGTTTTCTTAATTGCTGCTGTCCCTAGGTGCATGGTAGGGCATCCACTGCAGCAAGGATACATACCAGTGGCCACACACCCCCAAAAGAGTGAATCTCCCTTTTCCAGCTGCCATCATCTAACAATAGTCATTCCTTATGTGGTAGTATATGCCTCCTCATCTGTGCAGGAATTTTGTCATGTCCAGAACATGCTTTTCACAGTCCTTTTTCCTTCTCTAGTTCTTACATCCTTTCTGTTTCCTCTTCCTTCTTTTCCTGCATGGTAGTGGTGGTTTGGGGGAAAAGGGGTTTATGAAGATGACCCCTTTAAGGCTGAGCACATATGCACTTCTCCTAAGCAATTTTACCAGTTCTGCTTCTCTGCAATGACCACTGACCACTGCCAAAGAAACTTCTCTGATGGAGGTTGGGAGCAATGCAGGTACAGACCATAAACATAAATATTAAAAATGAAACTTGACCATGTGACCACTTAGCAAAATGATAGTAGCAGGTTCCATACTAGAGCACATGACATCTGCAATCATGGGCTTTTGATTTGGATTATAATATCAAACATGACATATTGCCCAGCAGGTCAGTATTGTGGCATGCAGGGTCCAGTGCTGAGTAAGACCATTCAAATCTTCTCTCCCTTTGGAACTGTGAATGTAATTGGCCCACATAATCTCATAGGGAGTGGAACTATTAGTAGGTGTGGCTTTGTTGGAGTGGGTGGGGTCTTATTGGAGGAAATATGTCACTGTGGGAGTGTACTGGAAGAAACATGTCACTGTGGGACTGGGCTTTGAGGTTTCCTGTGCTCTGGAGACCACTGAGTGTGTCAGCAGAATTCCTGTAGCCTGCATATCAAGAGGTAGCCAGCACCAAGTCTGCCAGCACACTGCCATGTTCCCCACCATAATGATAATGGACTGAAGTTCTGAAACTGTAAGTGAGGCACCCCAATTAGATGTTTTCTTTATCAGAGTTGCTGAGGTCATAGTGTCTTTTCACAGCAGTAAAAACCGTAGCTAAGGCACTCCCCTAGTAACCTGCACAGGACCTTTTGACCCATTGAAAGATCGCCTAAGGGAAGATATTTCCTCATTGGTTTGAGATTGATTTCTTCATGTCCTGACACCAAATGTGTGGTGTCTTCAGAAATAGGGTGTTTCCATGTAGTTATGGTGGAAAACCAAGGGCACAGCAGCAGCTTGGTTGTTTGGAGGCAGCTGTGGTCTCCCTGACTGGTGATTCCTTTGGAGGTATCCTTTGCCTTGCACTTTGATTTTCACTTAATAACTCATATTTTCTGTGGATCTAACTCTTTTCTAAATTATAATTTTGATATTTTTAAATTATGTTTCCATAGAATATATTTTGATCAGGTTTTCCTCTCCCCCTTAATACCCAGTTCCTCACCTCCTCCTTTCCTATGCACTCAATTTTGTGTTATTTTTCTCTCTCTCCCCCAAAACAAAAACAGAAAATAAAATCAAACTAAAAAAAATCTAGCAAGACAAAAATTACCTAAAATAAAGAAAAAAAGCAACACACAAAACTTCCCAAACCATACACACACATACACACACACACACACAAAGGAGTCTGTTTTGTGTAGGTCAGCTTCTGGGTCTCCCTAGGCCTTTTATACATTCTTAGTTTTGGTTGACCCTTCCTTTATTCTCTCCTGTCCATTATTTTCCAGTACTCATTCAATTTTATCCTTTAATCCTCAGAACCCCTTCTCTGCCTTCATATCACATATTCATCATTTTTCATGATTATTGATTTTTTTAGAAATACAAATTTAAAAAAAAATCCCCTAATAATTCTGTGTTTGTCCTTTAAAAACTATTTTAGCTAGTTACATTTCAAGTTGCCTTTTATAATTATTTAAAAATAAATTTAATTTTTATTGTTTTGTTGTTGTTTTGAAAGAGATTTGTGTTCCCAGGCTGGTCTTGAACTCTTGATCCTTGTATTTCCATCTCTCAAGTGCTGAGACTACTGGTAGGTGTGACTATCTTTTATCCCATTAAAGATATCAACCATACTTATTTTACATGTGTTAGTTGGTAATCCTATTGTCTGTACTTTTTTGGGCTTAATGTACTGTTCCTGCTGGATTTTGTTCATTGTGACATTTTCTTTGTGGTATTCTGTGAATTTCTTCTTCAGCTGATATAAAAACTATCCGAGGCATCAACAGTGGTAACTTTCTCAGAAACTTTTCATTCGGTGCCTTAGAACATGGCAGGTCTGGCTCACTTCGATTTAAACGTGGTCCTGCCATTGTGGACAGTTAGGTTCCAAATCTGCAGAAAGATAAATTTCTCTTTTATCCAAGGGAATTCTCAAGCAGGCTGTCACAGAGGTGGCCAGACTGTCACAGAGGTGGCTGGACTGTCACAGAGGTAGCTGGACTGTCACAGAGGTGGCCAGATGACAGAAGACCTTACATAATGTATTGATATGTACAAATCATACAGATTATCACTATTGTTATTAATTTGTTTTTTCTAAAGGAAGTATCATTTCATACAGGCTAGCTCTGCCTCTTTGCATCTACCTCCCAAGCACTATAATTGTTGGTGTTTGCCACTGTGAAGACCACAGAGTTAATGAATTTGTTTGTGTCTTACAGCACCAAACAGAGTGATATGAGCATGTGGTAATATTTAGAGTCAGGTTCTAGCAGCGAAACATGTCTGCATCCAGATTAAGTGATCTTTGTAGACCTTGTCTATGTTACAGAACTGTTCCCTGATTATGGTATGACTACTGGACCTAAACATGAGGCTTCTGTCAGGAAGTCCAGGGGTCAGAAGGTTTCTGTGGCCACTACAAGTATTTTCTCCAGTGGGAAGACACAGAAGCTTGTACATCTGCTTAAAATGTCAGCTTCTAATGAACCTAGTGAGAAACTGTGAGCTTGTGTTTCTTGGTAGAAGTCTATGAAGGCATCACCATGGAGGGAAATTTAAGAGCTCATGATGTAGAATATGTGCTCCATGTGTATCTTGTGAATAGTTACTGTATCCTGTGTCTTTTCCTCTTTGCCCATGTTCAACACACATGTTTTAATGATTGTACCATAATCATATATTATGGCTGACTAATGTATATAATCATTCCTGCTGTACCTTACCTGTTTTTTATATGATCCATGGGCCACTTAGTTTCATTTATCTTCCTATTGTAAATCTAAATCCGCTATTTCTACCAGGCTTAAATCCAATGTTAAATGAAGGGGATTTTTTGTTAAAGTTTTATTCCTTTGCCATTTTAGTGCCATGGAGTTGGGTGGATTTCATTCTCTGTCTGGTATTCTTTGACATAGAGTCTCATTAGCCTAGCTTGGGTCAAACTCACTGTATTTCCCTAACTGGCCTTGAAATCCTTATACTCCTGGATTCATTATTTGGTGTTTGAATGATCATTTTCTGAAGAGTCACTAATTATTTTACCCTGCCTATTAGTAGAAAGATTGGCTGTCATGTTTAATGATGTTTTGGGAGTCTTAGATTTACTGAAGCCTCAGACTGTATAGGAATCTAATTTCTGCCTGTTCATAAATGAACTGAATTCAGTTTTAGTTGATCAGGGTCTTGCTCCATAGCCCACTCTATTCTGGTTTATAGTCCTCTAAATCAGCCTCCCCAGTGGTAGGTTACAGTCATGTATCATCTTTGTTTTTTTTTTTTTCTTTTGATTTTTCAATAGAGTTTCTCTGTGTAGTCTTGGCTGTCCTGGAACTCTCTATGTAAACCAGGTTGGCCTCGAACTCACAGAGATCCACCTGCCTCTGCTGCCCAAGGGCTGGGATTAAAGGCGTGTGCCTCCACCTCCCGCCATTGTGTTTTAGTTTTTATTTAACATTTTGAATTATCTTTCACAGGAAGTTAGTTGAGGATTTAGTATTCATCATCCATCAGAGATGGCAGTTGTGTTGCCAGTCAGATGATCACCATGTTTCAAGGAAGTCCCAAGAGCTCTGAGGAAGGGGAGGAAAGAGAAAAATCAACCAAAACAACATTTAATAATGCTCTTCTATGACTATTCTACAAATGTCTCTTTCTTCTCAAAATGTGTGCATATAAGACCTTGTCCTTATGCCACATGCATTTATTTCTTCTTTTTAAACTGTCTTATTGTAAAAAAAAATATCAGAGGAAAACATTTTAGTGTAAAATTGTTCCATGGAAATACTCAAAATTAATTTAACTTGCTCACAAAAAAATTAACAATGTGAAGTAAATTAGAACCTAAGTTGTGATCAAAAGATCATTTTTATTTTTCATTTTATTCCATTTATTTTTGTGGATGTATTCACATGTACTGTGACATACAGGTCACAGCACTGGTATAGTTAAAGGAGCGTTGAAAGCATCAC